ACCGCTAATCATTTATTTAAGCTCAGTTTTTAAAACCTTAGGATACAACTACAGCCCAGCCCATGCAGCAGTATATGAATGACGAACTTCGTATTGTGGATGGATTATCTCAGTTGTTCTCCTGGCTGAAGTTTGGTCCTTTTACAGCATCCTGCCATGCGATTACATTTGTTGCTGACCACCGAGAACACTCACGTTAACTTTTATCGAGTGGGAAAAAAGCTGTGTCGCTAGCGGTCATGTAGCACATCGTTATATACCAGCTAGCCAAACTTCAGTAACCCTACAAACGTCACTGCTGTTTAGTTTTCTGTCTTCATTTATGTTGGAAGTGATAACAGAGCTGTATGTTTGAATTTGTTTCCAAAACCCGGCAGTCAGGACATGCTATATTGTATTTAGATAGAAGCTAGCAAGCTAACTTCCTGCTAACTTCTAACTCCGTTAAATGTCATAAATTCCGTTTTCATGGATGCCTGGATGTTAAACTCAATTGTTACACCTGGTAGAGCAGAACACTGATCATTTTATTAAAGATGAAAGACTTTAGACTGTTTTTCAACTCTCAGTAATGCCATAGTGATCGTTGATATATGGACCTGCAGCGGAGTTTAGGCCCAGACACAGCTAGTGACATCAGACTTAACAACCGGATAGGTACCTTTAGGTACACCCTAGTCCTCATACGTTATCCAGGTATCGTGTGTTCGTGCTTTTTCTTGTTTTGAGTTTGCTTTTGTCATTCGTTTATCCTTTTAGTGTGTAGCAGCCATTCAACTAGATAAATAGCCAAAACAAGCCAGAGTGCTGTTTTACCCTGCCCCGAAGCAACCATCTTGGATGCTTTCCAGAAGAAAGAGTGAGTCCTGCTGATGTTATCCTTTATTGCTACCCAGTAAGTAAAAATAGATTTTTAGCATGAATCGGTAGCCCAGTTCTAATAACTTCTTATCAACTGTCACCATTTCACAAAACTCCAGCCTGCTTGGTTGTCCTTTGGCTTTAGTTCTAGCAAACATGAGCGTGCTAACCTGACAAACACAATATATCAGCTAACCAGCATATTAGCATTGTTACTGCGCAAATGTTAGCATGCTAACATCGAAACACCCTGCACTGGTGTTTCACAGAGCTTTAGATAATTTCATGATCTTTTTTATATCATTTATTTCACTGTGGAATGAGAGTGTTGGCTCTCCACTGCAGGTAATTTCTGTGCTTTTCTTCCACGGTTCTCCTTTCTTGTTCCTCACTTGTCTGCTGTGGTATTACTTTTAAAGCTCCTGGTATTATGCCAGTGTTTACTAACACATTCTCAATGAATCTAGTAAGAAAAGCTCCCAAGTGAAACTTAACCTCACAGTTTTCTTTTACCCCTTTGGGCAGACACTAAAATATTGTGGCTAAAGTGCTCCATGGCTATGTAATGTGCCTTTGAAAGCAAGGTTATATTGATTTAGGCATATTTCATGTGAGAAAATCACAATGTGAGGCTTAACCTCAAAAATAATATTTGGAGGTCGCTAGATTTATTTTTAAAAAGGTTCAAAACTGATATTAATACAATACTGAGTCACTTGTAATTTTTGTTTTGAAGCTGCAAAGTTCCTAGTCTGTTCTGTAGGATATGTGTGAAGGTGGCCTCGCCCACACAAGAAAGGAGATAGGGTGGGAGAACACATGGCAGAGGTCAGTTTTAACAGAGATGGGTAGAATGGCCTTCGAGCTGTTTACAGCTCTTGGCTGTCCTATGTGTATCCAAACAGATGACTCTGTTTAGACTGCTAACACCCACAGATGTCTAAGTAGCTGACCTTGACTTGTTTCTACTCTTTGTGAACATTGATTACAAAGGTACAGTATGTACTGCTATGAGGATGTCGTATCTCTTGCCATAAAATGTGTGACTATTGATGTTTCTCTCTATTATTGTAGGGTCTTTACATTACAATATAAAGTTTATTTTTTGGGGGAGGGGATAGCCAGGTCATTAGCAATAAAATTATATTTTGTTCCAAAACACTTTTGACAACAAATTTGTTTCTCACACTATATGATTGTGAGAATGTCAGCCATTTATTCTGACTATGTCCTCCACCAGCTGGCTTTTTCTGTTGTTTTTGTTGTCAAACTTCAAACTTTGAAGATCCCCAGACTTTTTCTCTAGTGCCCCCATGAGGTATGGTCTTAACATGTAATTCTGTTTAGAGATCTACCCCCCATTGGTCAAAATTAAAACTTTAAAGTTGCATTTCATTTTTGGTACATTAATTGGTTGGTACTATTTAACACATACTAGCAGGGAAAAGGTGGCACGGTGGTTAGCACTGTTGCCTCACAGTGAGATGGACCTGAGTTTGATTCCACCAGCAGTGTCTGAATTTGCATGTTCTCCCTGTGTTTGCGTGGGTTCTCCCCAGGTACTCCGGCTTCCTCCCACAGTCCAAAGACATGCACTTTGTGGGGATAGGTTAATTGAAAAAATTTAAAATTGAAATTGCCCATATGTGAATGTGAGTGCGAATGGTTGTCTGTCCCTGTGTGTTAGACTGGTGACCTGTCCAGGGTGTGCCCCGCCTCTTGCCCTATGACAGCTGGGATAGCTGCAATCCTGAAAAGGATAAGCGGAAGCAAATGGATGGATAGCAGGAAAAAGCCCTAAGCATCAGTACGTTGCCATTAGGAACCTAATATTTGCATCAGCATTAACTTTATGTACTTCTGTACCTAAGCACAGCCTCACAGAGACTTTTTAAATTACTGCATTGGCTTTCTCTGAAATTAAGAAAACTTAAAGCATTTAAAAAAAATTACAACTAGAAGTCTATGAGATTTCATATTTGCAAAAGTGGATTTCTTAAATGCAAAAAACAGAATAATGCAGCATGTCTTTCCTTCAACTCCCTTCATTCTTTTTCTTGCTTCTCATCTTTTTCCATGTCATTTTTGGTACATATTGTCCCTGAGGTTGCATGCCTGCACTCTTCTCAGCTGTGTACTGTAAGTGAAGGAAAAACCAAAATAGAAGAGAACAAAATACCCCCCCATACCCTGTAGTCTTGTGCTGCAGCCATCATGCAGGAGAGAATACAAGCCACGTCCTGAAAGTCAGGGGAGCCTTCATCCTCCTCCTCCTCCTCCTCCTCATTCTCCTTGCAGACATGGAAGGTCTGTTTCCATGACAACGTGAGAATTAAGGGCGAAAGAGCGCCATCCCAAAATGACATATCGGATTTAGGGGCTAGGTAGAGCATAAATCACTTCGGTGAACGATAGAGGAAACTGATTTGAATTAAATGTGAATCCCATTAAATAAAAATTTACACATTTATCGATTCAGTTTTGTCTGCTTATTATCCTAATTATGTTCCTGTTACAAAGAGTGACATAACTTTAAAAAAAAAGATAATTCAGTCATGATCAACAACACATTCAATGAATCAGTCACTGTATAGCTGAGAGTTTTTGATAACATAATCTTTATTCTTAAACAATCACTAACTTCATTCTGTTTTTTATATAATCAATGCATATTTTTTGTCATCTCAGAATTCATAATGCATATATGAGCATGTTCCAATGCAGTGAATCATCTGCAAACATAAAAATATTAAAATAATAGTTATTATCTCATACAATCAAAGCCTTTATTAACCCGTTTCACACATCAAGAAACCCACAAAAAAGTGCTTTGCTTTACTGCTTTCTCACATTAGCTATTTTGACTCCATGTATTCATTCCTTTCTCAAATCCTTTCATTCATCTGTCAAGAGTTGACATTCAGTACACTTAACTTCATGCATTGCTTTAAGTCCACACATGTGTCATATGCACCAGTATAAACCTCTGTATAAAGATACTTGTATGCTGGTCTTGCCTGCTGACTTTCAGTGTCATGTCTAATATACTGTATGTATCACTGTTATTCAGTAGGTACTGTGGAAGTTGAACTAATCTACTGTTAGCTCTTACAGGTAACTTGCATCAGCTGCGGACCCGGGCCCAAGATGGAAGACTTTCCTAGATCCATAATGATGCCTATGCCACTGTAGTTTGCTGCGTGCAGCTGAATGTGTGCTATTTACTGTACATATCACCAAATTAGCAACCGGTTTCTAACCAGATGTAGGAGAGATGTATGAGCTCTCGCTAAAATACTGATCAAAATATTGCATAAAACATTTTGGACATATGCTCCCAAAAATCTAAAGACATTCCTCTTGGATCCCGCCTCAAACTTAAACCAAACTTACATCAACTTCTACAGTCATGCAATGGTAATGCTTGATCGCAACCGTTTCCCCTTTTCAGCTTTCCTAACTTGGCTAGGCTTAGCTGTACGTCATCTTTAATAATAGTAAAAAAGAAATAACACTATTAACCCCAATCCAAACACCACATTGGTGCCAGTCTTTGTGCAACTAGTGCTGGACAGTGGACATCCAGCCTCTACGTCTGGCCCATTCACTGCACAACTGTAGGACTTCCTGAGTTAGACAAACTAATTGGGGTTTAAAAATAAGCTCAGCAGCGTACACAGCGTATGTGGTGTCCCAGTCAACTCAATTCGATTATACAGCCCTGTCAATCTGTTGATTTATGAAAGAGAGAGACTTTCCTCCACAATGCAGCAAGTGGCTCATTTCATTGGTCACAAAACCAGTGGGAATAGAGATGGCGTGCGTTACCATTTCAGAAAATCCCACTGAGACGGCAAGACATCCTCCTCGAATCTGGCCAAATCCATATGTACTGGTTCCTCAATGAAACATTTAGCTTCCATTGTGATGGCAAAGTTTGAATGATTGTGACCTTACAATTTTTGAACAAATTTTCAACATGTTAGGTCAGTGATTTATTAAACAGTCAGGCACCCTGTCCACCAGTGTTGAAAAAGTCTCTGGTCATTTCACAACAGAATAATAGAAATAGTAGAACTTTCTGGAAATTAGTCAACACAACCCTTCACGGCCGGGCTTGCAAAAAAAATTGCCACTTCTTTTCTTTCTGCGTAGAAAAACTGCAGAAGTCTTTAATCAAAGGTTATTTCATGTTTAGTCCATATAGTTCAAAAGCACGACTACTGTTACATAGTTATATTTTGAGTTGTTGTTATAGCTAACAGCAGAAAAAGGGGTCTGTGGTTCACGAGGTGCAAATGTGAAGTGACCGTTTTTGGCCATGGCTCGTAGTGCTGATGTTGGTCATTACCATCCTCTCAGCTTTTGGAGAGAATATTATTCTTTGTCATTTTTGACAAGTTTGGACATCTCTTTGTTTATAACCTAATGCTCATTTTAAGTGATGAGATAATACAGAAACTGTATCAAAACAGGTTTTCACTCCTTTCCAACTTTTAATGCCTCATACAACTTTCTTTGTCTTTTCTACTGACAAACGCACCAACCGTGGAGATGTGTTGCCAGTGTTTTATTGTTTTTGTTTTTTTATTTAGAGACATACTAGACTGCACTCTGTTATATTGCTTGTATCGGTCCCGTCCTGCCACACCAGGGCAACATATGGAAGTTTGTGTCCTATAGTCACATTAGTCTAACTTACAATACACACCTGAGTAAATTACATCCCACCCTAAGCACTCTGTTTCCATTGAAGTCCAGCAAGGAGAACTATCAATATATTTAGTCTTACCCTCACACCAGTGCAAGTGGTGTGACAGTGCATTCAAGATCAAACTGTGAGAGAAAAAAAACACATAAGGGTAATAAAAAAATTCTCAAATGGTCTCAAAACCAAAAAGCTAGTAAATAAGATGATCGAGCAACAGATTAGTAATGATGATTATAATGAAGATGGTATAGTTATTATTGACAACAACACAATAAAGCATATGAGAATGCAATAGTATGTAGAAAAAAAAATCAATGTATGAAAAGTGAACATGTATTAAAGCTTGTTTTTCACAGCATAAATCGAAAATGACAGATACTTGTATTTACGTGAAGGGAGACCACCATTTCTTTGTTTATCACAGCTTTTTTATACTTTTTTGCATAAAATGGTTGGCCAAGTCCTGATTGAAAACGACTTCTCCATATATATATATATATATATATATATAGTCTTTTTCATATTAATTCATCTAAAAGGTTTTCACAGGCAAGACATCAGTTTTTGTTTTCGTTGTCTTGGGTGTACAGTAATAGCTCCTCATTGTCATCATAAACCCCTCTGTTTGTCACGGGCCATGGTGGTGCGTACATTGGGAGGGACGGGTGAAGTTTCCTTTGGCCCCTTCCCTTCATTCAGGACGAGGCCTCTCCCCCCTGCTGGAAGCCCCTCCCTCAGATGCTATGTGGAGTCCTGATTGACAGCTTTCCCTCCATTCATGGTGGGAGTCCCTGAGCTCTTCCTGGAGCGGTGCTTGTCCTCTATCTCATGCAGTGATGGCTCCCTGTACATACAAACTGTGGAAAAGATGGAAAGCCAAGGAAAGGGATGGAAACGAGGAGAGGAGCGGAGAGGAGAGGAGAGGAGAATGGGGACAGTGGAGAGTAGATTGAAGAGATGGATGTGCAGACAGAGACAAGGTCAGGTGTGAGGCTGGGACAATTATACCAGGCTGGGAGGGAGAAGACAGGGGAATTAGGCCATGTCTACACTTTTTTATCACATTGGTTGACAAGTTATTACAACAATATCTATGTGATATTTTAACAAAGCTCCCACAAAAGATATGTAAACTACTGCGGCACTGAAAGTGAATCACTTGCCAAGTCCAAAGTCCTGTTTCACACTTGTGAGAAACTGTGCCTGAATGTGCAACAAAATTTTAAGGATTCCCCCTTTGCCCGTACACTGCTCTACTAAGCTTCATCGAAAATGAGATAGTTAATCTTGCTGACAAATAACAAAGCAAGAGCAAAATAAATGCTCAAAATGATAAATCCCCTTAGAAGCCGTGTTTGGAGAATGGGAATGCAATGCAAATGATTTCATTTTGCTCCCTCATAAAGCTTGAAGAATACCAAGGATTGTTTGAGCTAAAACAGCGGATGTCAATATATTTTACCTTTAGGTGTGTCAAAAGGATTTGCTAAGTTTAAAAAAAGAACATTGATTTTTTCATTTCCCATGATGCACCTATACTATGTTTCATTAGTTTCTCCCTCCTCCTTAATGCCAACGTATTAACAAACCGAACAGTTCCAGCTGGTAATGAAGGTCCTCCAAAGCCAGATAAGACATTATCTGGTTTCAAAGGCTAGTTAAAGCTGGTGGATCGCTGCTTTAACCTCCAGTGCTGTGTTGCACAATAATACTAGTGTACGTGATGGGAAGTGCATGCATTACAAAAAAAATGAAATCAAAAAGAAATAACATTAAAGCTGTACCAAAAATGTGCTTCTACAAGCTTTATGATACCTTCAATTGGCCTGGGAACAAAGTGCGATGAGGGCTTAGTCTTCTTGACCCGGTTGCCCTTCATTACTTGTCCCTCCTTGGTGAGACCAAGGAACCAGGCCCGACCTGACTCCTGCTGTCGGTACACAGTGGACGAGTAGATCACATAGTAGTTCTCAAAAACTGACTCCTTGAACTTACACTCTGGGGTGAACACCTCCTGCAAAAAGATTGAGTGAAGGAAGGTAAAAATGTTATAGATATTTGTCAGTGCAAACAGAAAACACATTTTCACCCACATGAAAGCTGAAAGCAGCAAAATAAAAAAAGAACTCATGACCAGTATGTGAAAGTTGCCAAGGTCGGTAAACATCCAGTAACACACACACACAGAGACACACACACAGGAGACTAATGAGAACGGTAGTCTTATTAGAATAATGTGACAATGGAAGATTTCTATCTCTTGGTTTCATTATCAAAGTAAGTCAAGGAGAGAGGCAAGGGGACTCACAGTAATGACTGGAAAACTGGAAAGAACCAGATACTGGATACACTGCCATGCCTGAGTGCGATGCCAGATTATTGCCATGACAGTGCAAGACAGGAAACAATGCTCTTGACTCTGTAACCCATTCCAGATGTACAGTAAAGATGCACAGTCATTTGTCACCTTCGGCAATCGTGTTAAAAAGGCTGGAAAATGCACAAATGTGCTTTTTCTGCACAAAACCTTTACTTATCACCACACATGTGCTGATTAATGTGTGCTGACAAGGAGGCTGCCAACTCCTCAGTCCTTGTCCCTGTTCACAACAATGTCATCTTCGAGACTAAATTAAAATCTAATGCCAGTCAATTTGAAGGGCAGGGAAGTCGTGTGTGTGCCAAAAAAAAAAAAAATGCAGGCAGAACAGCTGGTTTGGTAGATGTTGGGCCATCTCAGATCTCAGCTAAGCCAGATGTTGTACTATGGGTGTGTTTTTGTGTCACTGCTATATTTCATTTATTAATGTCTCCTGCAAGGTTCTGTGCCCTTTTAAGGTTGTCTGTTTGAGTGACAGCCCAATTCTGCTCCCTGCTGGAGGTGACAGTGTGTGTGTAGTCCAGGTATTACTCATGTAGAGGGGACCTAAATCTGTTTATACCATCACGTTAAAGGGACGTGTCTTCCTTGTGGGGACAAAAAGAAAGTCCCAATAACATAAATCAATGCATTTTATGGTTAGTGACATGTTTTAAGGTTAGGATAAGGGTAAGGCTTTGACAAACAGCAGTTATACTTAAACTCTATGTCTTCGGGAGATTAATGCATGTGTAAATGTCCTTTATGAAGTAATTGATACAAATCAGGAATAATTTAAAGCTGTTTCTGACCACATGGTTAATGTAAGTTTTATAGCTGCTTTACTTTTTAGTTCTGTTTTGCTTTCTACCAGCTCCCCAGGAAAGCATCTGGCATCTTTACTGTGCAGTCCAAACTGTGTTTATCAGCTAGTTGTTAACGTCATCTGGGTATCTTTTTAGCAGGTGGTATGGATTTAAAGAGTGCTAAAAATCTGTGTAGAGCTTTCTTGGTTAGTTGTTTTAAGCAGCACCTGTATATTACACACAGCCATTTGGCTGATTGTTCATGCAAAAAATAAATAAATAAATAAATAAAAAATGTAGCTTTAAATTAGTTTATGTCATATTCAGTACAGTTTAAAGAGTGTGTGTGTGGTCTCTATTTGGATGGCACACCGCAGTTGAGAGTAATGAGTCCCAGTGTGTATGACCTCAGTGCATTGCAGGCTGAGTAAAGGACTGAGGGAAGGTGGAGGTCACATGGTCGACGGTGTGGAAACGTCTCACTGGTCAGCAGGAGAGAGGACAAGCTCTGGCGGCAGAGTGTATCTGAATGCCTGCTGAAACGCTGTCAAACGGCAAAGATCTGGCTCGCTGTCAGGGCACTGGGGTCACGTTGTGCCTGTCTGGCTCTGTGTGTGTTTATGTGTGAATGTATGTGTTTGAGTGGTTGGGGGGCAGACAGTGATACATTACACAGCAGAAGGCTTCATCGCTACTTCATCTGTTTGGTGCTCAAATTAGGCCAAGAGCACACACACACACACACACACCCACATACATACGCACCCAAGTACTAACCTACCATTCACCATTAGCCACTTGCTTTGCTGACACACTAGAAAATTCCCTCCACATTCTCCACGGCAACAATGCCCTGTGCTGTCCATGAAAAGCTGGAGCGGTTTAGAAAGCACCTTGGATGCAGTTTGGGAATGACTGGGGTGAAATGTAAGTGACTTTGAAGTCTCTAACAGAGAACCTTGTTCACGGATGACTGAGTAGAAATGCGAGGTGAAGAGATGGGGTCAGACTCTATTGTGATTAATGAGATTTTATTAATGGACATACACCACAGAACCGCAGGGACAAAGAAAAAGCACAAAAATACACATCAACACACATTCTCAATGCCCCAAATATATGGACAACAAGTTTGCCCTGTCACTTCCTCTGCCAGGAGCTCATAATTAATTGAAGTTGTTACTGCACCGAAACAAGTTTTTAAAAAAAGAGCTAACAGGCTCTGCAAGCTGATATTAAAGTAATTGAAAGGATGCTTATTTATATTCCATAGCAATCTCGTGGACAAAACCAGAAGACTTGTTAGCAAAACTGGACACATGCTTACACTGCACCTTTAGGGGTCTCAGCTTGGACCTACGGATTGATAAAAAAAAAGCTTCACCTGAGACGCTGTGAATAAACACAGCAAAACTGCTAACTGAATGCAAATATTTTTGGCTGTTTCTGCATATTTTCACAACATTTTTTTCTTTTTTAATATAAAAGCTTATCATCTGTTTTGACAGAAACAAACATCGAACTGATTTTTGAAAGGAAAATAATGCACCAATACCCTTTTGAGTTTGCAATTCCTGCTTTGCACAAGGTATAAATGTAGCACTACAGCATTGAATTACCACTCATTTCGTTATATTTTGCTTCCAATGAGCCAGACTTCCTAGCAACTTTTTTAAAGTAGTCTTGAACAATGAATGTCATGTCCTTAAGAAATTGGGGAAAAATCGATGAAAGACCTGACACAGGAATTGAGATGCATCTGGCCTGTCAGTTGATCCATCTACTGTTTGTCAAAGCCTCATCAGAGGTGGTCTCGATGGAAGGGTGGCTGTCAAGAAACTTCTCACAGAAAACAGTAACAAAAGTAGACAGACAAAAGTAAAAGGTATACCAAATCGGCATCAATATGCATGGAGAAGGTCAAAAGAGAAGTACACCAGTGAGTGTCTACATCCAATCTGTGATCTGTGGTTTTGGGTGGTGCTTGTTAAAATTGGTGGAATTATAAACACAGAAAAGAACTGTCAAATTTTGACCGACAATGCAACACCATCTGAAAAGAATCTGATTGGAAACTGCTTTAGTTTTAAACAATGATCCCATACACACTGCCAATACAGTAAAAGCATAAATGAATAGAAAGGAGGCCCGGAAGCTGGACTTTAACATTCCTGAAGCAATGTGGGATCACCTTGACAGAGAATTGAGCAAAAGACAGCCAACAACCTTTGAAAAAGTTTTAAATGTGCGGTTGTGTGTTACCTCAAAATAACCAAATTGTGACCTTCTCATAGAAAATCATAGAAAAATAAAGAAAAAAAACCCTCTATCGCTGAAGTCTTCAAAAACTCCACAGAGAACTTGCTGCTATTTTCACATCATCCTTGATTTTTTGGACATGATAGTGTTACTCACATCATGTTTATCTAGATTTTGGGTTATCTTAACTTTAATACCAGCTGCAAAACCAGCAAAACAACCTCATACCCATTACCACCTATGGTGGTTCTGCACCTCTGTCCAGATAAGTGTGAGGTAACGTGTGTGTTTGGGGCTTATGAAAGGTGTGAGCGCCAATGTATGGAATGTAAAATGAAACTCGAAGAATGAGAACAAGATGTAACGGATTGCCAAACTGGGTTGCCAAAAGCTGAATGCATCCTGAATCCAAATCAGCTGCTGGCTCCATCACAGGAGGGAGGCAACACTCTGGCTCTGCTTTAAGGAGCAGCTGCCGACAGACATCTTTTGAATTTGGATAAAGATGTGGAGGATACGGCGAGGACCTCAATTTAAAAATGGGCCTGAGACACTGGTGTATCTGAGAGATCTGGGCCCTGTGACAATCCCAGTGCTGCCATGGAACTCCCGGGGAGCTTATTATTATTCTTGGAGAGATTTAGGTCTGGGATTGTCTAGACGTTACTTAAACTGAAAACTCTCTTTCTCACTTTTTTCTAATTTTCCCTCCCTCCATGCTTATCTTTTTTCCTCTGTCTGACTCTGGAGTAAGTCACTTTGAAGCAAGGTGTTATTTTTTGTCTTTTCTCAATTTTCTCCACAGATGATGTGTTTGATTGTCTGCAATTAAATTGCAAACACACACCAATGGTCCACCATGAGCAGCTACATTGTTTGCACACACAGAAGCACCAGTTTAGCTCATAAAGTAATCAAGTAGAATGACAAACTACCAAACCTTCATCAATTTTCTATTGAGCCATTTATAGTGTGCGGTTTACAATTTTTTTGCAACATAAATTTACATATTTAGATAGATACTGTAGACGGTAGCAGTGGTTACTGTTGTGCAGCAAAGTAGGTCATATTGAGTGTTATAAATAATGGAAGGGAACTCTTCATTGTAGATGTTCAGCCCCCACGCACTTTATCACTAAACACTCCACATAAGCACCATCACCCAGCTCACCCTCAGCTACATCAGCGAGCTCTGCAAGCAAGAAAAACCAGGCAGCATATATGTAACGACTTAACTGATCAGCAGTGATAGTACTAAAAAAAATGATACCTGACACCCAGATAAAAGACTGACAGAAAAGGTCCTCAAGGGTGCAGTGCAATTTCTCAGAAGCATCTCAAACAACAACAGAAGAAAGGGTTGTCGCGTTCTCTCACTAATAAGACAGCGCAAAGAAGCAGGAAGGAAAAAAGTAAAAGGGAGGCAGTGTTAGAGAAGTAGGAGGATATCCCTCAGTAATTATCTCCCAAGGGGGGGCACGGGAGAGAGCTATGTATCTCTGCTCTCAGATGTAAGGAAGGCAAAACAAGACGACAAAACAAGCAGTGACAAACTTTATAGTTGGTGGAGTCAAAATAGTAAAATGGAAGGCCCATCTTAGAGAGGACAGGAGGACGGGAGCAAGAGTGAATAAGTGAGGATGGCTGGGAAAAACAATGAAGACCCAGACAAATAATAATAAAAGTAAATGTGACTAAGAATGAGGAACGAATGTGAAGGACTTACTTTATGGCCGTGGTTGCACCAAGAGAGCTCTCATAAATGCATGAATAAAGAACAGAAATGCCCCCTATAATGGCATTCCTGCAACGCTTTATTATTTATCTGCATACATAACCTGTACTGGTAAACAACAGAGGCTATATTTGCTTTTATGTAGTTTGCATGTTAATTTAATCTTTTTATGAGCCCCTCCAAGGCTTATAGGCTTATAGGCATTGGTAAGGAAATAACCAATGCTAATCGTCCATGCTTCACATCTGAGGAATCGGACCCCTTCCACATGGCTAGAAAATTCATTTAGTTTGTGGCTTTGATTAAAATGGTCCTTCGACTGCTATAGCAGATACATCTTGCCCTCTAATTAAAAATCACTCTAGCTGTTTTAGAAGGCTCAAAGAGTTGATCCTGCATCCCAAATAAATGTGGATAAAATGATGATAAGTAAAGACAAATGTTTGTTACACCAAAAGCTGCCACTTGACACCGAAGTACTAAATGGTTTGTAATTAATAATAATAAAGTACTCTGACACAAATGATGTTTTTATAAAGAGCGGGTTTGTGTGGGGGTCATTCAGCATCCCCAACTTGAGTCAATTTGATAAATTAAAAGATTGCTGTCTGGGCAGGATTAAACTTTAATTAGACATAGATAGGTGGGAGGAGGATTATTATAAGCTTCACAGTAGGACTGAGAGATGTGCACTTGTTTATGAGCCTTTGGTTATGAATGAGTCTGTCTACTGGGTGAGTCATAAAACCATGCGCATTTACTGTATGTCCTTCTCTGAACTTGTGAGTGCCTCATACATCTGTCTAGGCACTGAGTTGTGTTCACGTTGTACTGAGTAAAAACTGCTTGTCATTCTGAAATAACGATGGTAAATTGAGCTAATTTTTCAGTTATTCAAGAGCACATTTAAAAAAAACAAACAACCAAAAAAAAAGACATCGCATCCACCATTCATCTTCTCAACTCAAACCTTTCCCCTCGTCACCCTAACAGTAAAGCGGCGCCCTTATCAATAAATGTAAGCTGCAAGTTAGCAGACACGGGCTTCACTGTGTCCTTCAAGTATTTTATGAGAATTTTAAGAGAGAAAAAGTTTGATGGGCAGTCTGTGAATTCCAGCTCTCGCCAGTCATTTATCATGGCTGTCTGGCAATCACACAGCAATCGCCAAGTCCCTCAGCAGAGGTTTGGGAGTGATGCAGCCCTCCCATCGGCTTCTTTCTTCAGTAGCACTATCCTCTGCTAAGACTAGAGGTTATATAACCATCCCAACTGGGATATGTATTGCAGTTCTTTCTCGCTGTCTTACAAACACGCTCCCTCTGCAGCTCATTTTCCTAAGACATGCATGTCTTGATCTTCAATGCAGCAGCCACGTCTTTTGGCTGGACACCCCCCAACCCCCGGTGCATATATTCTACACATTTACGTTTGTAACGTTTACCCCAGAGTCTTTCTGTTAATATGTTAAGATTACTCTACATTTTTTTTCTCATGCAGAACAAACTGAGAGCACTTCACTGAGCACTGAACTTAATATCAAATTAAATGCAAAGCATGTGAGGTGCAATAAAAGATGGGGAGGGGTTGGGAGAGATAAGTGCTGCACAGCAACACAAAGGCACATCTGAAGAGCTCTTAAATTTAGCAGAGATGAAAGGGATTGGCAGGGCTGAGTCTTTGCAGCAATGGGATATTAAAACAGACAACAAACAGAACAAAACACAACACGTGTTAATGAAGAAATACGCATGCTGGCACCGCTCAAACATGCGCGACATGGCGGCGTGACTGGAGCGAGGAGTCGCGTCTTACCGAGCTGTAGAGCATGCCCTCGCCATTCATGGCAATGTAAAAGCCACTCTTCACCCCCTGGATGGCCACCACTCTCAGACCCACAGGAATAAGATTAAACAGGGCTGCAGAGCAGACAGAGTGGAGGAGAAACTGACGGTTACAAAGAGGCAGAGACAAAAGAGAGACATCAGACACAAAGGACAGAATAGGACAATTGAGTTTTCACTTAACTCTTGTAGAAACAAGACCCTCTGATCTCTGTTCTTTGGCTGTCTGTCAGCAGTAAAGTGAACAGTGCAGGACATAGACAAAGGGAACTCTGATGCATCTGATGCACAGTGACGCATTAAAGCAGGAATCCAAAACTTTTTTAATGACATCTAGCTGAGGTAACTGCACAAAGAATCACAAAGCATCCTGTGATTCTTTGTACATCTACTTGAATTAAAGTCTCCTGGATGGCTTAGATTTTGCAAAATGAAAGCAACTATGTACTATTTATGCACACATATGTGACTCTGTTTGCAGCAGCTCCAATATGAGAAATTGTAACTGGCACTGCCAGTCAGAAAGGAATTGATAAGCTGCCATACCGGTAGAAATGAGGCTTACTATGAGTGCAGCTAGTATGTCCAGGCACAAATGTTCAGGTTTTAAGTCATCAGCGTTCATTTTGATCATATTCCACTGCAATCTGAAAACCTGCTTTTGACTCGGTGATTACTGAACGCTGATCCATACCTGAAAGTATGCAGCGTAATCTTTAAAGCAGTGAGACGAGCGTCAATAAAACAGCGTAGACATAAATCTGTGATAGCAAACAACCGAAATTGTGTTTTGATTTAAGACCCCATCAATCACTAAACTGCTGCAGGCAAATGCTACTGAATCTCCTGAGCGGACTGAACCATCAAGGGCGTTGGTTTGGTGAGGGTGTGAGGGCGTGCTTTGCGTACTGTGAACTCCCCGTGATGTTGGAGTGATTGTTCTGCAAGTGTCAATGGGGACTACCAGAAAAGGCTGGCAGGGGGAAAAAAAGGCATCGGGCCAACACAGGTCTGTCCTCTGAACAGATTCAATTTCACTCAATAAATATCAACGTGCTGCCAATGGTTTAAACCTGACCTCGGGGCCAGTGGTGCGCGTGATATGCAGGGACATATACCCTTGAGGCCAGACAGAATGGGTACTTCAGCCCCTTCAGTTTGATTTTCTAAGACTTCTCAGCTATTTTTCCATCTGTTCCCTGCTTCTTATTCTGTCATTACCTCCTCTGTATGCTCCCTCACTCCTCTTTCCATTAGCCTTTCATAGCTGCTGCGTTTGTCTCGTCGATGTCTGGCAGTGTCTGTCAGAGGCACCATCAACAGTTCGGCCTTGCTTGAATAGTGGGAGGAAAAGAGACATAAAATATGGCCCAGTACTACACTATTATGTTATAATTACGATCCACAATCCCTGCTCTCATTTGCCTGCCAAAAAATTTGAGAGCTGACAGAAGCTGTCATTCAGTTATCATCTAAATGCCTCGCTTTTTCTTTTTACCCCAGCACCAGCATTTGATTGATTCCATAACTACCTGATGACTATTCTCACGCTGATTCCTCCTCCTTAATCACCTCAATCCTATCTCTCACTGAAAAAAGAGAGGCCGGGCTGGCGCTGGAAGAGTTAAGCGATTTTCCAGGGATCTGTTATCGTCAAAGGGCCAGACAAAATAGGTTCAAACAACTCAATAAAGGAAAATCCTCAAAATGCCAAGTCTTCCAGAAGAGCAGTAATCGACAACAAGAAATCCTGCAGCGGCTAGACTCAGGCAAGTGAATTTCATGTGAGGAATACTAGCACAGCAGGAAATAAACCCTGCAGGAAAAGTTTCAGAAAGAAACTTAGCCAAATTTCAAATGCCAAGGGCATATCTTCAAATCCAGAGAGAAATCCAGGTATACACTGTCACATTTGCAATTATATAGAGCTTATTTTTTTACTCCACACTCCAGCTGGAAACTGAAAGCACTTGAAATTAGCGTATGGGTTTTCAGGTAATAAGGAAGTCTATCCTCATTCCATCCATCAAACCCGGAGCATCAGAGATAGATGAAGCGCGACTGCCTGAAACCGCAGGTGTCTCATAACCAGCAGTGTCTTTCTAGAGCTTCAGAGTGTGCAGATAATTACTGTAGGCGATCAACTTATGACAATCAAATTAATAACTGTTCAAATTTGAACATGGATGGTAATTAATTGAACGGTGTTCCTAAGCCCTCGCTGTTAGTTAAGCGTACAGCTTCCAGTCAGTCATGCTTACCACTAAAGCAATTTTCCATACTTGTAACTGTATATTGAGCCTGAAGGCAGCAACTTTGTGATGTACTCAGTCGAGCACTTTGCACAATTTGCCAAACCCATAATAAAATCGAGCTATTTAAAAATGAGAGAGGCATGATTAAAGAAGAAATTCCATTATTTTATCATTTTTCATCATCATTTTCCTCCTTTTTATCACTAAAACTGTTTCCTGTTCAGCGGCGTCCTCGTTTCACCGCTTCCTGTTCCGCACTGAAATGAAGCAATTGATAAAAATGAAAATGGAAACCAAGTGCACTCTGGGCACAGGTCACTGCTATTATTCAGGCGCCATCATGCTCCTCACTACCATCGGTTCCACTGAAGCACCCCCTGAAAATAAATTGCTGTATTCTATCAGCTAAAGCTGTGGATGAGGCGGGTCAGAGGATGTCGTAGTTGAAGGGTGGAGGATAATCTATTATTCTAATAATCCAGCTAAGAGATCAATGGCTCAGTGCAAGACCTGAATACAAAATCTCCTTTCTCTTTTTCTGACAGCGATTATTCTTCCCCTTCCTCTTACTGTCTCCATCTTCTGCTCTATTCTACACTTTGAATTCCTCTAGTGGCACCTCCTGCTCGCCTCTTCCCTCTGTGTGTCTTACTTTAGACAGTCTGTATGCTTGAGGCATCTAATATAGAGAATTATTCATTGGGTACAAACGGAGAAGGTGGTATTTTTAGTTTGCTGTGGCTGAATTATTCACTGCATTCCTCCATCCCTGGGCCAGGGGGACTGCTTAACTAGAGGATTACCTAAAGGTGGGGAAATCCTCACATGCAGCTAAACCCTCAACCAGCTAAAACCTTTTAGACACAATGGAAACCTTAAAAAAACAACAACAGAAAAGCTCAAGCTAAACACATGAAATGCATTATATGTGACTGTTTCTCACTTTCCTTCCCATCCCCCTTATGCAGTAATCCGTTTTGTCCTGAAGACCCTCACTTTATGTCCTGAGTGGTTCTCATTAAAGATCTATCTCCTCTTAAAATATACAGCAGCAACAATAGAAGAGTAAAGCATTCATTTCCGCACATAACTGCCTTGGTCCAGCAGCTGTGGCTGCGGTTTTCTGTAAGTAAGGCAGGAGAAGAAGAAAAGTCATGGTTGGTTTCCTGTATTGGCCTCACTCCAGACTGGGAGTGTCATCATTATAGCTTTGACGGTTGTTCCCCCTGACATATGTGCTGTCTATTCCTTGATCCTTTATAGGAAACTCTTAACAAAAAGCTACAAGTTTTAATATAAGAGACTCTCTACAGACACGGCTGATTTTGCACTCCTTTCTGTTCTTGTGGAGGTGGATGGGGTATACCCCAGAGACTATTTATTCACTGGTAGTTCACTATGGAAAGTCGATTGCAGTGAAATATTGCAGGGGAGGTTCTTGTGGCATGGAGTGAAGCTATGGGCCTACAACCACTTCTAGCAATGGCTTTTTCCAGGAAGGAAATTTTGATGTGATGGTCACATGTGCTTTGGAGCCGTATCAATCAAAACAATGTGACAGTTTCAATCATGAAGTGTACACAGTAGAAATGGTTTACCTAGTAGGGACCTGGTGGGGATACCAGAATTGTTTTTACTATAGCAAATTAATTATAGTTACCAGATAAGTATGATATTTAGAGACTACGTCATTTTTGAGAAAACAGGCTTGGAATACATAAAACATTTGAGCAGATTTTGGCACATTTATGTGTATATTATTACATAATCATATGCAGAAAAGAGGGCATTCGGCTCTGGGGTATTTCTTGCCTTTAAAATCTGTTTTTTAATCAAGATAATCCAATTTAGCGAGGGTGTCATAAATTAATTTTAGAGTGCTTTAGGTCACCCAAATAGCACGAGTTATATAAGAATTAAAAATGCTAAAGCGTATAGATGCAGCAATCTATTATATAACTGACTCGTGGCTATTAAATGTTTTACGCTGGAAGCTGTGGCTTCCAAAATGCTCCACTCACTGTTGTCGCTGTTCTCGTCCTTGCTGCCGTCGATGGTTCCATCCGGCTGCATCTGCAGGTAGAAGCCCTGCTGGCTGAACAGTCGTGTCACGATGCCTTTCAGCTGTGGCTCTGGAACATGCACACACACACACACGTAACACGCACACACACACACACACACACACCCGTCGGCCCCAGCCCCGTCCCCACCAAGAATATGTCAGAACAACAGTCTCATAATGGTGAGCAAAAAGCACAATTTAGCTGATACCTCTGCTTTCAGCTAACACTCAGAAAAAAAATCATCCAAAAGAAGTGTTTCACAATCATAAAATGTAGTGCATGATTAATTAAAAGCTGGCTGTGGAGGATGGAGCGTATCAGCAGAACAATTATAGACTTACTCTACTTAAAAACATTTACAGTTTATTTCTTTTGTCGTATTTAAAGTCTCTAAAAGGTTAACGATGGTTCACTGTTCACTTTATGACTTGTGTATCTATTCAATTGTAATAAGCCATTTTAAAGGAACTCTTATTATTCCTGTGGCACAATCCAGCTTCCACAATTGCCCACAAAAAGCACCAGACATTTAACAATTTCAATAATATATATATTGCATCACTAATATCAATAACACTATAAAGGACAATTTCCTGTGAATCACCTGATGCAGCACATGAGCCCATAAAAGGTTAAGTAGCTGTTTGACAGGAAAGCCTTTACAAGGACAACACGTTAACAGAAAACCAATAATAATATTGTTACGTTCCCACTGTGGTTTACCTTTCAACATCCTTTTAAAATCACATTTAATGCACACTGACATGCCAGTACTTTCTTTGGTATGAAGCAACCATGCATTCTAGAAATAATATGACTGACATTTTTTATGAAATCACTCTTTTGAACAGGCATATTTCTATGCTGCGCTCCAAATGATTTCCTTGTTATTTATTTCCTGAAAGGAAACAGAAAGGAAGTTCTGGAGGAGGTTTCATTTTATTTTATTTTTTTGTTTCCCAGTAAGATAACCCTGTTTCGACCTCCAACTTTGGAGGGTATGACTTCTGGCGCGTGGCCAAAGTGCTGCTCAAAGTGCTCCTCTCTTCAGGTGGAGCAGGTGGAAGCGAGGATTAGCTGAGGGCAAAAAAAAAAGCCTTTCAGCCTCAGGCAATGCTGAGTAAAAGCTGATTTACGGAAAGCAGTTTTTATCTGAGAAAAAAAACGTGCTTCTCTTGTTTGATTTTGTGCAAAAGCAGGAAGTCCAAGTCAGATGACATCATTATATCCTGATGATTAAGAATAAAATAAAACTATTTTAAAGCAGGTAAAATAAAAGATATGATCATGCAATGAGTATATATACAGTCATGGTTTTCTTGAGGCTCATCGTGAGTAATACTACTCTACAACTGCACAGTAATGCGCTGTTTTGTGTAAAGTCTGGGAAAAACAAATAGATACTAAAGATGACTAATCCTCAGTTCAGTCTGTCTCACAAAAGGAACAAATTATGCGTTTTGTCACAATTTAATTGGCACTTAGTTTCTCCTTGTGCACCTAAATAAACATTCATTTAATGAAATCCTTGCTTTGCAGGCACAAACATTCTGATAAATAGTGTATGTGACTGGAATAAAGAAGCTTGACTGTCCACCAAGGTCATAAAAATTCTTGGAGGACGTGCAATTCATTTTAGTCCAACCAGGCCCAAAAAGTCCCAAATGAATTGGCAGAAGAAACATTTTTCAAGCTTGGTATCAGGACAGAAGGGTGGTTTTTGATCAGACTTCAAAAAGCACTGACAGATGTTAAGGTCCTTACTTGAAAGCTGATCACTGCAATAATTACTGTTGCATAAACTCTAGTTATGTTTATTTTTCAGAAGACAAAATGTGGAGAAGAGGGCTCGAGGAAAGACTCCCCAGCGAGCGTGAGTTGCTGTCCTTTCCTCTGTACATCATCCTAACTGTCACTTCCCCATCTCACCTACCTGTGGGTTAGCGACATCAATTCCTGGGACAGGCCCTTCATCATCCATCATGGGAGGGTAATGTAGAGAATGTAGCATGTGCTTGTGTGTGTGTGTG